GTGTTGGCCCACAAGCTCTTGAACTCTTGAGTGTGGAACTGAGATCCCCCCGTTGTGGTGACCGAGGCAGTTCACAGTTTTACCCTCTGGTGGTGTTTCCTGGCAGGTTCTCACTCACCTTCCAAAATATCCCTGAGAGGGGAGATCTCCCAACGACCCAGGCAGGGAAAGGGAGGATGGGGCAGGAGGTGAAAGGAAGCTCAACATTTTGGGGCAAAGCAATGACCTTTAGAGGGAAAATTCTTGAAGAAATGAGTCGTGCAGAGGAGAAAGTTTCACCCTTCAACCTGAGATCACAGAAACACAGAATGGTTTGGGTTGGAAGGGACCTTAAAGCTCATCCAGTGCCACCCCCTGCCATGGGCAGGGACATCTTCCTCTATCCCAGGTTGCTCCAAGCCCCGTCCAACCTGGCCTTGGACACTTCCAGGGATGGAAAACCCCCAAGGATTATTACCACTGTTAGTGGTAAGTTCTCAAACAGGGGGAATTCCTACATTTGACCTTCTAGAAGTGTGATATAAATGCTGATGGGACTTTCACTGCTTTACCTCCTCCATCCTGCCCAACCCTCAGTGGGCAGGGAAGTGTTTCTAAGGCTGTTGCAAAGGGGGTGTTATCAGCAAAGTAACTTTTTATCTCCTGGAGCCACCAAATCAGGATCAGCTGCTGCACTTGGAAGATGCTTTTGTCAATCCTGGAGGCAAACTTGAATATCTCACAGGGTCAAAATGGTTAAACTGGTCCTTTCTAGGGTTTCATTTTTAGTTGTGAGGTGAATAGGTACAAAGACACATTAAGGAAATGTGACTTTTTCAATGTTCTCCTGATTTTTGTCTGACTTTGCCTCCTTTTTTTTTATCTTTCACTGTGAATACACCTCAGTAGAATACTTGGGTAGAGCTGTGACAGAGGGACAAAGAGAGGCACTTTGAGAAGCAAAAGTGACAGAAATGCAGAGGAACCGTCTGATCGCGGTGGGGATTTTCAGGTGAAGTCCCACGTGGCAGAGGAGCTGCTCCAGCAGCTCCTGATTCCAGGAGAGGAATCCTGGCACTTACTTTCTGCTGACTTTGGTGGCACTGAAATGTGGAAATTGGAGGAGACCTTTGGAGGCCACCTGGGCCAACCTCTCCTTGCTCATGCAGGGCCACCTGGAGCTGGTTGTGCTGTGACCTGTTGGGTTTGGAGCACAATCCACCCATTTTTTTCAGGAACAGTGATCCCCTGTCGGGGTGGATCAGAGCCACCTGCAGCTGCTTCTTCTTGAATGTTTGTGCCTTGCTTTGGGTGGAAGGAGAAGGCCAGGGATGAGTTGTACCACTTGGTGACCTTAAGATACCTTTTTCTGGGAGGAGGTTTAATGTCTAAATGAAGGCATGTGGACTCTGGTCAGCATGGGAATAACAGAATCTCGAGTGGATGAGGTGGGAAATTGGATCTTGAAAAACCTGTCTTGGGTCTTTAAATTGTACCCCAAAATTGTCCCGTGTTAAACCAACTGTGGTTTATTTACAGACTCTCCAATAACCACCATATCAAGTAGTTTCTCTGCTTGGAGTTAATAATTTCTGTGATGCTCGGAAAAGTCATGGAATCACAGAACGGGTTGGGTTGGAAGGACCTTAAAAATCATCCAGTTCCAACCCCCTGCCGTGGGCAGGGACACCTTCCACCAGCCCAGGTTGCTCCAAGCCCCATCCAACTAGGCCTTGGACACTTCCAGGGATCCAGGGGTATCTGCAGAACATCCATTAAAAAGAAATCCATTTAAACCAAAGCCAGTTTGAATGAGAAAAGTACTTCCCATCCTCACCAAACAGATAAATATATTCTTGAACTTCTTCCACTGTGTTCAGGTGATGCTTTAAAGAAATGAACCCAACCTTCTTTGTGAGAAGGGAATCCATTTTTGCAGTGTCTCTATTTCCAGATAATTCTGGGCTGGGAACCTCTTTGGAGTGCAAATCTACATAAAAGTGTTTATTTTTATGCCACCCCTGAACTAACATCAGGTCAGGCCTGTTTGTAAGATAATTCCCCTCACTCCCAATCCATCATCTCTTAATGTATAGAGATCTTGCCATGCTTTTAGTTCTCTGTCACTGTTTCACAGCCTGTGACCACTTGAACTTCCAGTGCTTAGAAGGGAAAACTGATGATCCACTGCCCTTTGTTCCTTAGGTATTTCTGTCCTGTGGAAGTTCTGGATGTGGATTTTAGTCCTGCCGTGGTGGCCAGCAGATCACTTACTTTTTTTGGGTGTCTAGAACTCTCCAGATGAGCCAAAAAATCAATCTGGGAGCCACCAGAGGGTTTGTGAACCTCAATTAATGGGTGCACAGAAACGTCCCCATTTCGGGAGCGACTCCTCGACCTAAAACTAAAGGAGGTCAAGATTTCTATTCTAACCAGTCCTTCTTTCTCCCCTCATTTCTTCCTGACGTGTCACCAGGTGTTTCCAGGCAGTTGGGAGTGTTCCCTTGGGATTAGATGTCCCGGGGTAGGATTGCAGGTGTCATGGAACAAAGTCTGAGATGTGGCAAGGGCGGGGGTTTCATCAGGGCTTGTTTTTGTTGATAGCCAGGGCTGCTTTCAGCAACAAGGCTGTGAACTCCAGTGCCTTCGTTCCAGGGACAGGAAGAAGTTGTAAACATGGAATTCCTTGGCTGCTGATCCCGGTGGTTGCAGGTCTTCAACTTTTGACCCAGGTGGTTGATGTTTGTTGCTAATATGGATGAGGGTTGGTAGCACCACCAGGAGGTGACTGGGATGCCTTTGTTTGGGATGAGTTGGCCAATTCCCACCATTCATGTCATCTCCTGGCCAGGCTCCTGTGTCTCCTCGTGTCCCTGAGATTTGGGTTCGTGAAACCCCTTTATTTTTCGGGTTTGGAGAAAGGTTCTTGTAGGACATGGTTTGGATTCGTGTCTGTTGACATCAGTTTTGGTGGGGGACTTCCCTCCAAACCAACAGGTACCTGGTGGTGAAGCACAAACAGCAGATCTCCCCCAGAAATTTAAACTGGATGAATAAAAGAGGCAGGTGGATTTGGGTGGGTGTTCAGGTTGTTATTATCCAGTTCATCCTCAGCTTTGTTGTGATTTTCGGAGTGTCAGAAGGTGCTGTAAAGTCCAGCTGTGAATGACCACCCCACACCACCAGGATTTTTGGGTGTGCATGTGTGAGTTTCTGCTTTTTTTAGGGATCCAAGCGCAGAATTTTCAGAAGTTAAATTTGTTTGTATTACGTTGTGTGATTTGCCAGATATCTGTCTGTTGGCAACCTGTGGCTTGGGGTAAAAAAGTACAAGAAATAAACCTTTTAAAGCAACTGGCTCCAATTTAGAATTAATGGTATTTTTGACTGTCTGATTTAAATATTGTTTTGACTTTTACTTCAGTCACCAAGATGTTGCTAAGTGAGATTATGAGTTTTTTTTTTTTTTTTCAAGAATTAAAAGAGCAGAAAGTAGAGATCCTGGGTGATGTCTTACATATGCTCTTCCATTCTTACAGGAATGCTCAGTATAGATTGAAAAGTAACTGTACACTAAATTTTTCAGGTTTTAGAGGTGGAAGATTAACTCTGGTTCTCAGTTTTGAAAAGACATTTGACAGAAGAGTTAAAAGTAATTTTTCTCTGCAGTGTCAGGAGTTTATTTTATTTTCATTTGCAAGGCCATTTTGATACTTTGCCCTGTTATCAGAGGCACAGTAATTCCCACAAAAAAAAAAGGGAGTTTTCAGATATATCTCATCATTATATAAATGCAATTTCATCATTATTGTCTGCTGGTGCTTTGGTAGCACTGGAGGAAAACGCCAGTGGCCTGTCAATGGATATTTCACTGCTTGACTTCACTTCCCCCCTTTTAAAGTCATCATAATTATCCCATACGTAGCCTTTCTCATTTATAGCTGTTAGAATAGTATTTTGACTTCTTTATTGAATATATTTGTCAATAATCAGTGTAAAATGATGTTTGATTTCAGCCCAAGCAGCCCTGTTGCCCTGACAGGGCTGAGTCAATGATCCAGCAGAATTTGCAGTGTTTTATTTTTTTTTTCTTGACATAGTTATTTTTAAGAAAGCCAGATTGATGATCTGAGTTCATCTGCTGTTTTCTACTGCTTGTGTTTTCTTGCAGAGTTTTGCTTGTAGAGGAAATGGGGATTCCCCTCCCTTGGTCAGCTGCTTGACTGTTTAACACCTTCCTTCTAAATTTCATCTTTACCAATAATTTCTGCTTTGAGGCTGCAACTGCTGTTTGTTTGCAGTCAGGGAAGGGAATCCCACAATCATCAGGGTTGGGAAGGACCTTCAGGATCATCCAGTCCCACCAGAATCCCCCCCTAATCCATGTCCCAAAATGAGTTACTGGGACTGGGCAATGCCTTTGCTTCTCTTCTGGCACAGTCAGTCAGAAAGTTGCTGTGAGCAGCCCTGGGAGGCACAACTTGGGGTGTTTTCCTGGCTTTTGGGGAATCCACACACAAAATTCCTGTGTTTGGAAATAAGCCCTGTCAAATTCGGATTGACAGGAGGGGTGAGAAAAGGATTGGAGTCATGGAATGGTTTGGGACGGAAGGGACATTAATGATCATCTTGTTCCACCCCCTGCCATGGGCAGGGACACCTTCCACCAGCCCAGGTTGCTCCAAGCCCCGTCCAACCTGACCTGGGACACTTCCAGGGATCCAGGGGCAGCCACAGCTTCTCTGGGAATTCTCTCTCAGCCCCTCCCCACCCTCACAGCCAAGAATTCCTTCCTGATATCCAATCTAAACCTACTATCATTGAATTTGAAGTCATTCCCCTTGTCCTTTCACTCCAGACCCCCTGTAGTTGATCTTCCCTCGAGGATGATTTCTGGGTTCCCAACCTGTCAAAACTCCGGTGTCTGAAAAAAAAAAATCGGATGAGCTCTGCGAGCCGGGATGAGGAGGGGAACGCTCTGAACTGAAACCACTCCAACCACCTCCCCTTGTTCTTTGCAGGAGGAGAGACTTCAGCATGCAAACCTTCATCTGTTCGGCTTGCACCATCGTTTTCATTCCATGCTGCTGGCCTTCAGATGGCTGGACAGATGTCCCACTCCCATCAGCAGTACAGTGACCGGCGGCCGCAGAACATCAGTGACCAGCAGGTGTCTGCCTTATCCTACGCTGAGCAGCTCGAGCAGCCACTCCCACTGACAAACCAGGTGAGGGTGACAAACCGGAGCTCCTGCAGGTGTCACCGTTCCTGCAGACGCAGCCGTGGAATCACGGGGTGGTTTGGGTGGGAAGGGATCTGAGGGATCGTCCGGTCCCACCCCCTGCCACGGGCAGGGACACCTTCCACTAGACAAGGTGACTCCAATCTGGCGTTGGACACTTCCAGGGATCCAGGGGCAGCCACAGCTTCTCTGGGAATTCTATCCCAGCCCCTCCCCACCCTCCCAGCCAAGAATTCCTTCCCAATATCCCACCTAACCCTGCCCTCCTTCAACTTAAGGCCATTCCTCCTTGTCCTATCACTCCAAGTCCCTCTCCACTTTAATGTGTCACACAACCATAAACTGCAGCCTCAGGGCATTTATTTCTTTTCAATTGTTTTGTTGTTTTGTTTATTTTGTTTACCTAAATAACTCCTGACTCTTTAAGGATGGGTAGACAGCTAAGTTCCTTGAAGTTCATTTTAAACATCTGGTACACATTTGTTGTGATTCTTCTACTTAGACAGTCTTCCCTCTTGTGTTAAGGAAATGCTCCAAGTGGAGAGTTCTAAAGAGAGTTTAATAACAGTGTTTGTTTGGTTTTTTTTTAATTTTTATGCTGCTTGTTAGAATATAATTACTTTATTACTTGTTCTCATGGACAGTGTTTTAATGCAGTGCCACTGGTTGGTGTATTTGGTGTATTTGCACAAAAATATATTATTAAGGAAGATACACTTCTTTTTTTTTCTTAAAAAGCAACATCTAAAGCTGTGCTTTAGCACTGGGGTTTCCTTACTACTAATTTACCACTTACATTGCAGGGGGGTAACACGGACACAGGGATTAGGATGTGCTGCTTTTGAGCTCCCAGTAGCCACAGGAGCTGCTTTTCCTCTGGAGAAGTGGGAATTTTTTTTGTCGTTTTTTAAATGTTAAAGACACTTCTGCAGGGAGAGGAATGGAGTGGTGAGGATGGGAATGGTCAAACCTGCTCCTAGAAACAGGGTTTGAGGGTCTACAAAGGTATTTTATGTGACTTTTTGTAGGTTAAAGGCGCCCCCAAACCTCCCCAGCGAGGTTGGTCAGTCAAGAAGAAAAGTTGCTGGTTCCTTAAACGTTTTAAGGCACTTCAGGGCTACAACCCTGTGTGAGCTGTAGTGACATCAGTGCTTGCTTGGTCACGTTTTCATACCAAACTCAGGGAATTTTAGGTTGTGTGGATGTTACCCCACGTGAGGAAATGACCAGCCTGACACCTTGGTGATGGCAGTGGGGCTGTCTCTGCACCACTGACACTATTTTATAGAATAAATTCTTATTTTTTCAGCTCCATCTTGTTTTTTTTTTTCTGCATTGTAGCTTCTGTTTTCCTATTTTACTGAAGTCTTTATTGTCCTCTGCCCAAGCAGCTCAGAATTGTCACTTCTTTATCCTTTCAGCACCCTTGGCTTTCGTGGTGGGCAGCTTATTGAAGTCTCCTGGCTACTTGTCTTTTGTGCCTCTATCTGAGTTCTTGTGCTTCTCCTCTCAGCCAGTCCCACCAGGAGTTCTCCAGAGCAGGTTCCTGGTGGGAATGGGGGCTCTGTGGGAGCCTCCTGGGGAGTCTCAATGGCTTTTTGCCTTTGCACTGATCTGATCTGCACAACCCAATCCAGCTGAGATCTCCGTGCTGGTGGCTCAGATCATCTGCTCTACACCTAAACAAATCCCTTGTTCTTTCTCTTAGAGTTTTCCAGCTCTAGTTCGTCCTGATCCAAACTCTTTTATCTCATAAAAGCTGTGACTTTCTGTGGCTGAGTGTCACATCCAGGGATGGGGACTCCACAATCTCCCTGCTGGGCAGCCCCTTCCAATGTTTAATCACCGTTTCCAGGAAGAAATTCCTCCTGATGTCCGACCTGAGCCACTCCTGGCACAGCTTGAAACTGTTCCTTCTCCTGTCCCTGTTCCCTGGGAGCAGAGCCCGACCCTTCCCAACTCCCCCCTCCTGTCAGGGACTTGCAGAGCCAGAAGGTCCCCCCTGAGCCTCCTTTTTTTTCCAATGTTGCTTCCTATCCTTGAGAAAATCCTCTTTTTAACAAGCAGCAAAAGGCTGAACGTTGGAGAAGGTTTGATAGATGGATCTGACACGGCCATAAAAACAGGAGGAGGGAAGAGGTAACTTCTGGACAGTTGGCTCAGCTTGGCTGCTCCAGCCTAAAAGTAACTTATTCGGTGCCCTAAAAGTAATTTTTCTGGGTGGAAGTGTCCACCAGTTGGTTGATAACGAGCTGCCAACCCCTTTGCTCCCCAGAGGGCCCGTTCCCCGGTGATGGAGTAGCCGGGGGCACTCCAGGAAACAGGAGTTTCCCGGGAAGCTCCAGGTAAGGAGAGTCTTTCCCGAGCTCCAACCCCCCTCTGGTGGCCAAAGGGCCGCGGTGCTTGTGCTGGGAAAGCCAATCCTCTCCCAGATTCCCTCCTTTCCAGAAAATCCCTCTCTTAAATAATTGCCTTTTCAGGTTATTTTTTACTGCAACTGACTCTTTTTGTTTGTTTGTTTGTTTGTTTTTGAGGATATTTTCTGGTTCAGGTTCCTGTAATCTCTCATAAACAGGGAATGGGGAAGCCAGGCCTTGAATGAGAATTTATTCCTTTTATTCCTGCTCTGCCCTGCTGGGATTTTGATTATATTGGTTTGCAGGCCATATTCTGCCGGTTTAGGAACCGTTCACAGTTGGAGATTAAAGATTGTAAAAAATGTAAAATTTTTTGCAATGTAAATATTGTGCCGTTCAAAAACAGGAACAACAATTTATATTAAAATATATAAAGTATATATACTTATATACATATACATTTATATATCCCGTTAAAATACCTAAAAATGACGCTCAAAATTTTATTTATATAATCTTCTCTTGCACCTCTTGCTTCCTGCCTGTGCTCCCCAAACCCATCATTGATTGACAAGGCTCAACCAACAGGAAGACACCCCAAACCCAGCCACTTTTCACTTATTTATGAGGGTGTAAATAGCAATAAAAAACTTCCAGCTCTTTTCCTTTTTAACTTTTTCCTTCAGTCTTAAGGCTTTTGTTTCCCAAAAAGTTCTGGGTCCTGCTCGTGGTTTTGGGGTCTCTGCCAAGAGCCAGAACCAACTTCAGGGAGCTGTGGGAGCAGAAAAGTTGGGATCTGTGGGATCTTTCCCCCTTTAACAATCCCAAACTCCTATTTCTTTGTCCATTTTTAACTGGCTGCATCTTGTGAGTTCAGCCTAACCTGATGGGGAAATAAGATAAGAAGCTCAAAAGTTGTCACAACTTCAAACAAGTGGGGTGTTTTTAATTTTGACTCTGCACTGATGTTTGTCTCCATCCCGGGAGATGAAACTGCTTCAAGTGAAGAACAGAAAGATCAGAAAATTGATTTAACTGCCCCAGAGGTTGAGGTGGATTCACAGGCAGATTTTGGTAACAAATTCCAAGGGTTCAGCTTTCAGGAAGCCCCTGGGATTGGCAGGTCGGGCTGATGCTGATCACTTTTATCTCTGTTTATCTGAGGTCACTTAGCACCTGCATGATCCCTGCTTTTACTGACCACATCTTGGCCAGAGATTTTATTGATCACAACCAGATCAGGGCCAAGTTCTTGCCTTAATTCACATCCTTAATTCAGTTAAAAATCCTTAATTCAGTCATTTCCACTGCCTGATTAACATTATGGTAAGTGAGGGACTTCACCAGACTCTGTCCTGAGTGTGAGCCTGTCAATTAAACAACTCATCACAACTGCAATTCTTGCTAAAAGTTCCCTTTCTACTGTAAAATCTTCATTATTTACCCCATTCATTGTTTATTCCAGTTGTAAAATGGAACATGCAGTTTACACAAGCTGAATTTATCTTTTTTTCCCCTCCTTTTTTTTAATGGTAGTGGATCTTTCTTTTTAAAAAAAAAAAAAAAAAAAAAAAAAAAATCTGAATT